GCACCCATAGGGAACAGACAGCATCCATAGGAAACAGACAGCATCCCACCCATAGGGTACAGACAGTATCCATGAGGGGTGAGGCTGGAACTGCTCAGAAGAGTGCCCTGAAAGAAGGCTTGGACAGAACAGGACAGGGGGGCTGGTGACATGTAGTTCCTCTGAGCCCCTGGATCTGCTGGTAGACAGCAGCAGTGAGATTGCCTTGACAGGACAGGGGCAGTTGCTATGGCCTTGCCTGTTCACAGAATCATCGAGGTTGCAAGAGACCTTCAACACAACAACTGTCAACCCAGCACCACCATAATCACCCCTAAACCATATCCCCAAGTGCCACATCCAGAATGCCCTTGAACACTTCCAGGGACAGTGATCCCACCACCTCCCTGGACAACTTATTCCAATGCCTGACTACTCTTTGAGTGAAAACAAACTTGTTCTCATGTCAAATCTGAACCTTCCCTGGTGCAATTTAAGGCCATTTCCTCTCACCTGCTGTTGAAATAACAAATACTCAGATGAGTGATCAGGAATTCAGAAGCTTGTGAGCAATTTACAGCCCCATTCCTGGATGAGTTCAAAGCCAGACTGGGTGGGACCACGAGCAACCTGATCTAGAGGAAGGTGTCCCTGCCCGTAGTAGAAGGGTTGAAACAAAATCTTTAAGGTCCCTTCCAACCCAAACCACTCTGTGACCCTCATCAGCTAACAGTGAGGGGACACCCTGGCCAAATGCCCAAGACACAGCATCTGTATTTGTGGGTGTGTGTTCATCTGGTTATCAGAGCAGAGGAACGAAGCAGCAACCTGTGGCCCTCATGTACAGAGTAACTATGGAGCAGGGACATGTGCCCAGGGATCAGGGAAAGATGATCAGTCTGGGATCTGAACTCTGGGTATGAGCATGCTTGTGCATGCTGTGTATGGGAGCACGATCAGGAGGGTAAGGAAGGGGATTGCAAGACCGTATGCAGTAATGCAAGGGCTGCAAAAGAAAGGGACTGCAGGAGAGGGAGAGGTGTAAGAATTTGGTTTGGCCCATTCCTAACAGAGAGCTGTGCAGCAAGGAGGAGTGACTGGTTACACAGACAGCATCTTGGTTATGGAATCTAGTCACTGTGATAAGAAGTACTGAAAAGGATGGAGCAGTTTGGATTTAAGGTAAACTAGGACAGTTTTGGTCTGATGTGCTGGTTAGCACATCAGGGATATAGCTAAAGTATTCCAGTAATTGTGGCTAATTGTGGCACCTGGGGACAGGCTTGAGTGGTGAAGATGGCAGTGCTGAGTTAGCAGTTGGATTTGATGGACTTGAGGTCTTTTCCAATCCTAACAATTCCATGATTCTGTTTCGTAAGGCTGTCAAAACATGCCACAACTGTTGGCATGTGCTTTACCTCAAGATCTGATGGGACTTTTAACACTTGGCCTCAAGAAAATGTGACAGGATTTAAATTCTTGGTGTCAAAATAATATTTGTTAATAATGCATTTAGAAGTACCTGATTGTACCTTAGTTTGATACTTCTATGTGCTTTTAATTATTTAATTGCTGTGTTAGTTTCTTAGTAGTGTATTCAGTAAAGAGACATTCCCAGCCTTCAGGAATCTAAGGAGAAGGGACTTGGAGCTGGGAAGCAAAGTTACAAACAACTTTTACCAAACATGTCCTGCGTGTTACTGTGGCTGTAACTGTCCCCTGGCTGTTACTGTGCATTGACCATCCTCTTGGCTGTGCTTCCACCAACTTTTCTGATGAAATCCCATTCACAATAAGCACAATTCCTAACAAGAAGACTAAGGAACACAGCCATGAACAAAAAGGCTTAGCCAGCAGTTCACTATGCTAGGGAAGATGTGAAGAGATCCAACATGATCCTCCCAGTCTTCCCTACTGATGCTGACTGCAGTTTCACCCACAGAGGAATCAATGGAGCCACGTGTGTGCTGACATTCCCTTGTTAGCAGGTCCATACTGAGCTGCAGGACCAGCCACCACGTGTGGTTTGGATGGAGTCTGACGCTGGCAAGGCTGGAAGCTGTGACATGGCTGGTTTTTCAGTTCTGGGTCAGACAAATGCTTTGGGCAGGATGGAAGGCCAGTGGCTGCAGCATAAATGTTGAACAGGACAAACTATATCAGCTACAATCCTGCAGCATTTCTGTGCAGCATTTCCATGCAGCATTTCCAGAATGACAGGAACTTAAGTGAGACTGAATTAAACAAGGACAACACCAAGGTTGTGAGGTGGCAAAGAGGGATTATTTATCCCCAGACAGTGCTCCCCACTGAGAAGTTTTGCTGCACAAGAAGCCCCTTGGCACAGCTGGCAGGAAATATCACCTTCCACTCCTGAAGCCACCTGGGATGTCTCTACAAAGACCTCTTGAGAAGAAATCAGCTCCTTGAATAGAAGTCACGCAGGATGGAAGGAAGCTCTGCTAGGAATCGCTGAACACCTGTTTGGCTTCAAATTACTGCAGTGCAGCTTGTGCAAACTTTGCTGCCTCATTTGTGGGGAAGGACAAGAAATGACACTTGAAGCAGACTCTGGGAAAGTGAAGAGCAACTCAGAGTGCCATATTGTGGGAATAGCTGCTCACCACACTCTCACTGGATCCCATGACTGTCAAATATTGAAAAACAAAAGGCATCTCCTGTCCATTTTCACATCACACCTCCACTTCTGGCTGCCCATCTGCTTTAGCCACATTAAAAATGTGTAAGAGAAGTGAAACATTTCCCTTTGTAGCCTCAGCACCAGTTAGGGTCTGTTGCAGTCTTCCAGTTGGTCCCAGAGCAAGGCCCTGCAAATACTCATGTTACTCAGAATTTCTCTTTTTACTATTTAGAGGTTATAATCTACAATAATTTCATCTCCATTTTGCTTCTGTATTTTTTCTCTCTCAAAGTAGGTAATCTTAAATTCCAGGAGCATGCAATCCCCAGGCAGAAGGAACCAAACCTCTTAGATGAAGGTTGATGCAAAATCATAATTTGTCTAATTTATTCTTTGTAATATGAGACAAATCAAATTTTTGGAGGCTTTGAATTTCTGAAGTACACGTACAACCAACAGTGATTATATGAAGTATTTGCTCTTCACATTCCAGTACAGATAATGCAATCTTGTACACACCAACTACCAGGGGTTACTAGCCCTCTTTTGCATTGGATCAAAT